CATTGCAAGCCATGGGAGACGACATAGGTTCCGCGATTCGGTTTTGGAGTTCACGGCTTGGGTAGTTTGGAACCACACTTCAGCTTCCCGGCATGCTTTGTGGTCTTACAGGTTCGGTTTTGGCGTTGAGGGTATGGGTCAAGAGTTCTTTGGAGAGTTCAGGGCTTGGTTTCTGCCCCAAGCATGCTTCCGCGAAAGCTCGCGATGGCGCGCGCGAAAGGAACTTTGGATTTCCGCGAAGAGGCCATTCTGTTATGAAGCAATATTGGATAACGCCCATTAAATTGCCGTTCCGCCTCGTAACTTGCAGCAGGAACCTACGTATTCTGCAAGATGTGCTGGCTCGGTTGAGTGCCACAGTGCGTAAAGAGCTGCAAATCCCGCTTAGCCTACTCGTAGCACGTATGTTGGCAGGGTCTTTTCATGTACAGAGCCTGGCCTAGCACAAAGAGTAACTCCATGCAAGTTTCGGTCGACTCCAATCCAGTGCAGGTACTTCGCCTTGCGCTTGATTGAGGGCGCAGATTTGGCTGTCAGAGTGCTTTAAAGGTGGAACATTTTGAGGAAGTCCATCTATGCTTGATAACCTCTTGACCAAGTCTTGAGCGGTAGGTAGGGTCCCAGGCCAAGTCATGGCGCATCAGCTACAGTAGTCCTTGCCAGAGCGCTCGTCGAGGAATGCATCAGAGACAAAGAGGCCAGTTTCACCGATGAGTCAGGTAGGACCTTAAGGCTGCTCAGCGGAGTGACGGGTGATTTTCAAGACCTTTGTGCCGGCACCTTTGGATGTTCTGCCCTTCTGCGAAGTCCTAGAGATTTTCTCGGAGACGAGCTGCGAAGTGCTCAAGGGACAAACAAAAAGCCTGCAAAGATAGGCGTGCTCGACCCAATAAGATCTCGGTTTGGATGGAGAGAGGCAGGTAAGTACAGGTGAAGCAGGACTCCTGTAGAAATGATTTCCGTGTTGTTCAGTGTAGCCAGGAAGTCAGAGAAATAGCATCATACCTGTGTTGAACGGTGCCGGCATGAATCTTCACTCGAGTAGATGCTGCCCCAAAGTGGCCAGCAAGGCGCGACTCGGGCCACTGTATTATGAAATTCCGCGTGTCCTGTAAACAGATTTTCTTGCAGTCAGCAATAGTGTGCACGGCCATTGACAGCTGGTCTGCCTGAGACCGACTTCAGTACATGCCACGTGTGCTGCAGAAACACCTGCCTCAACTTCCAGCCATCATGCGCGAAAGGCAAAACCTTCATTTGATCTGGTGAGCTGTGGTAGCCAGCTGAGCGTCTTACGTCAAGCATTCCTGCTAGTGACAGCTAAATTGTGCTGATCATGATGCTGCTGATGATAATGGTGATGTTGCAGCTGATTTCAAGTGATGAGAGTCATCAAGATGATCTTAGACGCAGATGAATCTTATACCATGCTGGCTCCTGTGTAGATCAAGACTCTGGGTGTGCCACTGAAAGTAGTGCACTATGGTGTTAGCAGGGCTAAGAATGCGGGAGTAGCCAAGTGTCTAATACCTGGTGGTGCTTTCGATGGCTCGTAAGTTCATCCGTGCGGGGCCAGCCAACCGCAAACACTCATGCAGAAAGGTGGTTTGGGGGCGTTTGAAGAACGCAATAGACAGCACTTCAACGCCCACCAGTAGCGGTGCGACTAAAGTGTCATCAAGCAAAGCTACCTTGGCCTGCATGGACTTGGTGACAAAGAAAGCGACAGAGCTCCTCAGAGGCGGTACATAGTTTGCACAATTCGAGCTTCTTGCAGGTACCAGTACTGGAGAGTGATGGCAGAAGAAATACAAAGAAATGAACATTACACGAAACAGCGCAGACTGCAATAGCAAGAAGAAAGAAGCATCAATGTGTAGCAAAGAAAGGCATCAACGGAAAGCAGCAACGGTGACCGACACCTCATGAACATGGCTTATGATATTCCAACGTCGGGACTGCTGGTAGGGGTCTCAGATGTGACATTCGGAACCAAGAAAGAGCAGCATGCTGGCAATGCCTTCGGGTGAAAGGTCCTTGCTGGTTTGGTTGTATCCGGCAAGGCAAACGGAGCACATGAACTTCTGGGCGATAGCCCGTGCTGCGAAGCAATGGTGCGACGTAGCATTCAGAAGTAGAAGCAACTCCAGGAGATGGACAACACCCAATCCATCAAGCCCGTATGCATGGTAGCCGCGCCTTCCTAAAACTCCTGCCCTCTGGACCCCCTTGTCCATTTGCCCTGCATTGTCAACCCCAGGCCCAGCAGCTGTAACCCTACCCAACAAACCTGAGAGCAAAAGCCCTGCAAGCGTAATATAGGGTACTATATTTTCCCTCCAAATGCAAAATCAAATGGAAATTTTTACTGCTGTGAAACAACGATACATAGCTAGCCAGAGCTGCCCCGCTTAGCACCACCAATAATGAACCAGAAGCAAAGCAAATAGAAATTAAAAGGCAAAAGCGCAAATAGATAAAAACAATCAAGAATGCGGGGGGAATGTCTTTGAGCTACGCACTGCTGACCCCCCTAGCAGACCCGTCGCTGGCAGGCCAGTCGCAAGCACATGAGGCCCGTCCAGGTCCTCCACTAGGTTAGCCC